GCCCTCCCTCCTCTCTCGTGCCTTTCCCCGCCCTCGCTGGCCCCCCGTTCTCTTCGGCGGCCCTCCCCCTTCTGGCCTTCCCCCCGGCGTTGGCCCGCTCCCGCCCCCTGGCTTTGCCGCTTGCCGCTGTTTCTTTCGTTGCCGGCTTCCCCTTCCTTTGTTGCGCCCTCGTCCCTTTTGTGCTCCCGGCTCTCTTGTCGCCTTTTCTCCCGCTCCTTGCCTCCTCCCCCTGCGCTCCCCCCTGCGCTTGTTCTCTCTGGCCCCCGGCGCCCGCCTCTGTCTGTTGTGCTTGGCGTCCCCGCCCCGCTTCCGTGTGCTTCCTGGCCGCCCTTCGCCTGCCGCTCCTTGGGCCTGGCCCCGCCCGCTCCCCCCCTTCCCCTTCCCGCCTCTCCTCCGCTTGCCCCGCCGCCTCTCGTCGCCGGCTTGCCCGCTCTTCTCTTCCCGCCGGCCCCCGTGTGTGCTGCCTGCCCCCGCGGCCCGCCCCTCCCCTCCTCCTTCCCCTCCCCGCCCCCCGCGTCCCCGTCCCGCCCGCTCCGCTTCCTCCTCTGGCCTTCTTTGGCCCGGTTGCTCCCCTCCGTGTCCGTGGTCCGCCCTCTCCTCTCGTTGTTGTTGCTGCTTTTTCCCGGTCCCCTTGGCCCGTGTTTCTCCCGCCGCCCCTGCCGTTGCGCCCGTTCTCCCGCCGCTGTTGCCGCCCCTCCCCCCTGCGCCCGCCTTGCCCCTCTCCCCCCTCGCCCGGCTCGCGGCCCCGCGTTCGTGCCTGGCGTTCTCCCCGCTTTTTGCCCTTCCCCTGGCCTTTCTCCTCCCTTCTCTGCCGCCCGCCCCCCGCCCCCCCCGGTGTTGCCGCCCGCCGCCCCCGGCCGCTCCCCGCCGCCGCCCGCGTGCTGCTTCGTGCTGCCGGTCTCCCGCCCCGCTCTTGGGCGGCCGCTCTCCCCCTGCTTGCTCCCCGCCCCTCGCCGCCTGCTCCCTCCGCCGTCCCCGCCGCCGCCCTCTGCGCTTCTCCCGGGCGCCCCCCCCTCTTGGTTCTTTTCCTCTTTTTGGCTGCCCCTGTTTTCTTCCTCTTCCTGCTCCCTTGCCTCTCCCCGCTTTTGCTGCGCGTGCCGCTGCCGGCCTTTTTCTCGGCTCTTCCGCTCCCCGCCCGGCGTTCCGCGTTCTGCCTCCCCGCTCCCTGGTGGTTGCCGCCTCCCTCCCCGTGGTCTTTGCTGCCCCTCCCCGCTCCCCCTGCTGCCCTGGCCGCCGCCCTTGCCCCCCCTGGTCCCCCGTGTCCTCTTGCTTTTTGTGCTCCTCCTGCTCCGTGTGCCGCTGCTGTTTTGCCGGGCCTGGCTGCGTTGGCCCTTCCTTCTCTCGCCCCTCCCCTCCCTCCTCCCGCCGCCGTTGGCCCTTCTTTCCTCCTCCTTTTGGGCGGTGCTGCCTCCCGTGCGCCTGGCGGCTGCCGTCCCCGTTGGTGCTCCCCTTCGTGCTCCCGTTCCTGTGCCGTTGGTGCTCCCTTTCCCCGCCTTCCTTGCTGCCCTTCGCCCCCCCCCTGCCCCTTCCCCCCCCCTGGCTCCCCCCCGTCCCCTGCCCCCCTTTCCCCCCGCTTTCCGCTGGCTCCCCCCTCCCCCTCCCGCCTTCCTTCTTGGGCCTCTTCCTGCCGGCGTGCCCCCCGCTCCTCTCCCCTGGCCGCCTTGTTCCCGTGTTCTCTCTCTCCCGCTTGCCCCCCCGCCGTTGCCGCCGCTCTCCCTGCTCCGGCTTGGCTCCCTGCTCTGCCCGCGCGCTCGCTCCCTTCCCCCGCCCTGCTGTTTGGGCCCTTGTTCCCCGCCCGGCGCCCCCCCCTGTTGTCGGCCCCCCTGGGTCTTCCGGCCCCCCGCCCCGCCGCCGGCGTGCTTGTTCGGCCTCCCGCCCGGCTCGTTGCCCCCGGCTCCTCTCCCGCCGCCGGCCTCGCTTTTGCTGCCCCTTTTGCCCCGGTGGCCCGCCTTGCCGCCCTCCGCCTTTTCCTCGCCTCCGCCGCCCCCCCCGCTTTCCCCGTTTCTCCCCTGGCCGTGCCCCGCGCCTTCTTGCCTGGTCTCCTCGCCGCCGCCGTTTCTGTCGCCCCCCCCCCGGTTTTGCGGTCCCCGGCGCCGGTGCTCCCGTCTCCCCCCTTCCCCCGGCCTTGTCTGGGTTGCCCCCCGCCCCTCGCGCTTGGTCTGCTCCTTTGTCCCTGTTCTTGCTCCGCTGTGGCTTCCCCCCCGGCCTTGTTGCCCCCCCTCTCTTTCGCCTTCCCGCTGGTGCTCCTCTTTTCTTCGTGCCCCTCTCTGTTGCTGCTCTTCTTTTTGGCCGCCCTCCCCCTTCTTTGTGTGCGCCCTTTTCGCCGCTTCTGCCGCCTCCCTTCGCCCTGCGCCTGCTGGGTGCCTTGCCTTCCTTCTTGGGCTTCCCCGTCCCCCCCTGCCCGCCGGCGTCTTCCTCCCTCCCGCCCCGTCCCCCCGCGCCTTGCTCCCGCCGTTTGGCCTTGCTGGCCCTCCTCGCTCCCCCTTCCCCTGCGCCCCTCCCTCCGGCTCGCCCCGCTGCCGCTGGCCCGGCTGTCGCTCCCCCCCCTCTCGCGGCCTGCTTGGTTCCCTTCTCTCTCTTCCTGCCCGCCGGCCGGCCCTTTCTTCTGCTGTGGGCGTGTGTGCCCGCTTCCCCGCCCCTCCCCCGCCCGCCCCCTCCCCGCCCCCCGCCGCTCCTCCGCTCTCTGCCCGGCCCCTCCCTGTTGGCTTGTGGTCTCCCCCCGGTCCCGCTTTTCCTCTCCCGGGTTTTTCCGCTGCGGCTTTTGCCGGTTGCCCCTCGCCCGCCCCCGCCCTTCCGGGCCCTGCCCGTTCTTGGGGGGCCGGCTTGTTTCTTGGTTCCGCCCCCGCCCCCTTCCCTCGCCCCTCGTCCCGCCGCGGCCGCCTCTCTTGCTGCCGGCCGTTGTTGTGCGCCCCTTTTGTGGCTGCCGCCCCCTTGCCGGCTTCCGGCGTTCCTTGTGCTGCCGTTCGTCTTTCTTGTGCTCCTCCTCGTGCCCTCGCTCTCCCTCCCCCTCCGGTGCTTCCCTCCCGCCCCCCCCTCTCGCCCTTCGCCCTCCTTTTCTCCGGGCTCCCGTTGCCCCGCCCCTCTGCCGCTCGCCTCTCTCCCTCCGGCCCCCCCGTTGCTGCTCTTCTCCCGCCGCCTTTCTGCGCCCCGCGCTTTTCTCCCTTCCGGCCCGCGTTGGGCCTGCTCGCCCTGCGCTCCGTCTCCCTGGCCTTCCTCTCTCTCTTTCCCTTGCTCCTTGTGCTCCCCTCCCTTGTTTTCTCGTGCCTCCCTTGTTTTCTGTGTTTCTCTGCCTGTTTTTCTTCGCCCTTTTCTGTGCTCCCTTGCCCTCTGTGTTCGGCCTTTCTTTGTGTCTTTGCCTGTGTTCTTTCCCGTGCGCTCCTCTGCCCTGCCCCTTCCTTTGCTCCCTGTGCCCTTCGTGCTTTCTTTGCTCCTTTGTTTCCCTTGCCTGTTTTCCTGTGTTCCTCCGTTTTTGCGTCTGTGTTCCTGTTTCTGTCCCTTCCCTCCCTTGTTTGCCTGCCCCCTTTGCTCTCCCCCTGCTTTCCCGTGTTTCTTGCTCTCTCTCTGTGTTCTGTGCCCCTGTGCTTTCCTCTGTTCTTTTCTGTGTTTCGTCTCTCTGCCGTCTCTGTGCTCTCCTTTGCTCTCCCCTGTTTTCGCCCTCTCGCCGTTCTCTTTTTGTTCGTTTCTCCCCTCTTTTGGCCTCTGCTTCTGTGTTTTCTCTCCCGTTGTTTCTCCTTCTCCTTCGGCCTCTGTGTGTTCCTTTTGTTCGTTTCCCCCTTGTTTCTTTTGCTTGGCCTTCCCGTGTCTGCTGTTTCCTCTCTTGGTCTGTGTGCTTCCTTCTTTGTGGCGTCCTTTTTGCTCCTCCCGCGCTGTTTGCGTGTTCTTCTGTTTGTGGTCCCCGCCTTTTGCGCCGGCCCTCCGGCGCTCCCGGCGGCCCCTTCGCGTTTCCTTGGGCCTCCCCCCTCCCCCCTCCCTCCTCCCCTTTCTCCCCCTCCCCCCCCCCTCCCCTCCCCCCCTCCTCCTCTCCTCCCTCCCCTCTTTCCCCCCGCTTTCCCTCTCTCTCTCCCTCGCCCCCCCCTCTCGCCTGTCCGCCCCTCCCTCTTCCTCGCTCCCCCTCCCCCCTCTCCCGGCGCTCCGCCCCCCCTCCTTCCTCCGTGTCTCTTCCCCTCTCCCCCCTCTCCCCCTTCCGTGCCTTGGGTCTTTCTCCCGCGGTGTGCGCCTTCCCTGCTCTTGTCTGCTCCTGCTGCCCTTTTCTCTTTCCTCGTCCCCCCTCTCTCCGCTGCCTCCTCTCCCCTCCCCTCCCCCCTCGCCCCCCTCCCCCCCGGGTCCCCTTGCGCCGTCTCCTCTCTCTCTCTTCCCTTCGCCCCCCCCTTCGCGTCCTCCTCCTCCTCTCCCCCCTCCCTTCTCTCTCCCCCCTCTTTCCCGCCCTTCCGCCTCTCCGCCCCCTCTCTCTCCCCTTCTCTCTCCTCGCTCCCTCGCTCTGCTCCTCCTGGCCCCTCTGGCCGCCCGCCCTTGCTCCTCTTTCTGCCCTCTCGCCCCCGTGCCGCCTGGGCTGGTCTCCCTCCTGCGTTTTTCCGCCTCGGTTCTCCCCCCCGGCCCCGGCCGCGCCCTTCTTCCCGCTTTCCCGCCTGTGGCCTGTTTGCTTTCTTCCCCTCCCCTCCTTTGGCCCCTTTGCCGCCGCTGTCGCCGCCTTTTCTCTCCCTGCCGTCGTTGCCCCGGCCTCGCTCCCTCTCGCGTTGGCGGCTCCGCCGTTTCCGCTCCCTGCCGCTGCCCTCCCCCGTGCTTCCCTTTCCTGCCTCTCCGCTCCTGCCCGCCTCTCCCCGCTCTGTTGTTCCCCCTTTTTGGCCTGCGCTTCGTGGTCCTCCGGCTCCCCTTTTCTCTGCTGTCTCCGCTCCTCCGCCTGTCTTGCCGTTTGCCTCTGCGCTGTTGGTGGCCCTGCTTTCCCCGCTTCTTGCCCCCCCCTGGGCCGTCCTGCCGCTTTGCCTGCCTCCCCGTGTGCCTGCTGGCCGGCCTCCTGCCGGCCTCCCCTTCCCCTGGGCCCCTTTCTCTCCCGGCCGCTGGTTCTTTTGTTCCTGCTGCCCCCCCCTGCCGCCCCCTGCTGTCGTGGCCCGCTTCTCTCCCCCTGTTGGCTCTGGTCTCCTCCTTGGCGCCCTGCTCCGGCCGCCGCCCCTTCCCCTGCGCCCCCCCCCCTCTTGGCCTTTCCCGCGCTCTCTTCCGCCCCTTCCGTCCTCCTTTTGGCCCCGGTCCCGCCCGCGCCGCGGCCCCGCCGGTGGGCGTTCTCCCCGTTCCCCCCCCCTCCGCGTTCCCGCCGCGCCCCGCCCCGCCCTCTCCCCTCCCGTCCTCCCCTGGGCTCCCGCCTCGCTCCGGCCGCGCTCCCGCCGCCCTCCGTCCGGCTCTGGCCGTTGTTCCGCTCCCTCTGCCGCCCCCCCTGTTGGCCGCCGGCGTTGCCGCTCCCCCCGCCTGGCCTTTGCCGGCGTTGCTGTGCCCCTTTCGCCTGCTCTCCCCCGCCGCCTCTCGCGTCCCTCTGCCGCCGCCGGCCGTGCCGGCCCTCTCGTTTTTGCCTCCGCTCTCCTTCCCGCTGCTCCGGCGCTGTTGCCGCCTTGCTCCTGGTGCCCCCTTGGCGCGCCTGGCCCCTTGCCCGCTCTCCTTCTTTCCTGTCCCCCTCCCCCCCGCTTTGCTCCGGCGTGCCGCTTTTTCCTTGGCCTGGTGCGGCCCGCCCGTGCTGCTCGCTGCCCTCCCCCTGGCTTTCCCTCCCGTCTCTCCCCTGCCGCTCCCCGCGCCGGCCGCCCGCCCCCCGGCCCCGCCCCCCTCCCGGCGGCCGTCCGGCTCCCGCCCGTTTCGCCGCCCCCGCCGCCCGCCTGCCCTTTCCCTTCCGTTCGCTCTCCCCCGGTCCGTCTCTGCCCCCCCTCCTTCTCCCGGTCCCCCTCTCTTGTGGCTCCTGCCTTTTTGCTGCCCGCCCTGCCGGGCCGGCCCTCCTTGCTGTCCCCTCCTCCGCCCTGCCCCTCCTCTGGCCCTCCCTGTGCCCGTCCCTGCTGCTTCTTTCTTGCTCTCTGCTTTGCCCCCCCCCCCCTTCCTGTGCCTCTGGCGTGCCCTGCCCCCTTGTGGGCTCTCCTGCCGCCGCCGTGTCCGTCCGCGCCGTGTCCGCCGCCCGCCGCCGCGCTCTCCCCGTGGCCGTTGCCGTCGCCGTTGCTCCTGCGCGTCGCCTGCCCCTCCCCGCGGCTTTCTCCCGTGTCTTGCCGTCCCCCTCCCGCGTCTCCCCTGCCTCCCTGGCCCCTGTTCTCGCCCCTGCCGCTTTCTTTGCCGCCCCTCCCCCGCCCCGCCGTCTTCGCCGCCGCCCTTGGTGCTCTCCCTCCCGCCGCCGCCTCCCCTGCCGCCGCCGGGCTGCCCCTTCTTGCTCCCGTTGTTCTCCCCGCTCCGCCTCGCCGTCCCTTCGGCTCCCCTCCCCCTTTGTGCCGCTGCTGCTCCCGCCGCTGGCCTCTTTTCCTCCTTCTTTGCCCCCGTGGCCGCCTCCCGTGCTGTTGTTTGTCCCCCCTTGGCGCCCCGTTGGTTGCCCCCCCCCCCGCTGGCTCCCCCCCCCCGGCTCCCCGCGTCCCTCTGCCGGCCTTCCTGGCGCCTCCCCCTCTTTTGCCGCCTCCGCTTGCCCCCGCCGCCCGCCTCTTGCCCGGCGCCTTGCCCCCGGCTTCCTTGCCGTGCTTCCGCTCCTGCCGCCGGCCCGTGCCGCCGCTGCCCCGCTTCCCCCCGCCCGTCCCTTGCGCCCCTCCCGGCGCTTCCCGCTCCCGCCCGCCGCCTCCCCCCCTTGCCGCTGCCCTCGCCGTTCCCCCCCCCCGCTGGCCCCGTCCCCCCGTTTCCCTTGCCCCCCCCCTCGTGTTGCCCCTGTGCCGGCCCCCCCGCCCGCGCTTGTCCGCCCCTTGCCTTTTTGGTTGCTCCCGCCCCCCGGGGGGCCGCCCTTCTCCGTCCCTTGGCTTTGCCCCCCCCGCCTTTCTTCTTGGCCGTCCCCCCCGCCCGTCCTGTCTCCTCCCGGTCGCGGCCGCCGCCGCGGCCCCTCCTCCCCCGGCCCCTCTCCGCTTGGTTTTGCTCCGTTCGCGCCTCCTCGTCTTGGTCCGCGTCCCTCGCCGGTTGCTGCCCCTCGTGGCTGGTTTGCCTGCTCTCCGGGTCCCGCCCCTCCGCCCCCCTCTGGCCTCCGGCCCCTCTCCCCCGCCTGCTCCCGCCCTGGCCTGCCGCCGCTCCCGCCCCCTGGCTCTCGGCCCGCCTCCCGCCGCCGCCGGCCCCCGGCCCCGCCCCGCGCTGTGGTCTGCCCTCCGCGCTTTCCCTGGCCCTCTGGGCCTGCCTCTTGGCGCCGCCCGCCGCTTCGCCGCCTGTGTCTTCTGGTGGGCCCCGGCGTTCTTCCGGGCCCCCTCTCCCCGCCGCTTTTGGCTCTTCCCTGGCCGGCCCGCTTCCCCCGCCTTTCCGCCTGCCCCGTTCCCCGCTGCTTTCTTCCCGCTCCGCGCCCCTGTCCCGGCCCTTTTGCCGCCCGCCTCTGGTGTGCCGCCCCCCCGCCGGTCCTCTGCCCCTTCTCTTCCGCTGCTCTTTCTCTCTTTTCGCCCCTCTGTTGCGTTTTTCTCTCTCCTTCGCCCTCTCTCCCTCCTCCTTTCCCCTGGTCTCTTTTGCGTCTTTCCTTTTCTTTGTTTCCTGTCCTTCGCCTTTCGTGCCTTCCCCGCCCCGCCCTCTGTCCCCCGCCCGCCCCCTTCCCCCTTGCTGCTGCTCCCCTCCCCTCCTTCCCGCTGCGTTTCGGCGCTTGTCTCCCCCTTCCTTCCCCCGTTTCTTTTGCTTGTGTCTCGCCCCCCTTTGTTCCCCTCCTCTTGGCTTTGTCCCCTCCCCTTGCGCCCCCGCTTCTTTTTCCCCGCCTTCCCGCCCCTGCCTGCGTCTCGGTTTTGGCCTTCTCCCCCGGGGGGCCCTTGTTCGGCCTCCCGTGTCCTGGTTTTGCTCTGCCCCCTCTGTCTTTGTCGCTCCCCCCCTTTTCTTTTCTCGGTCTCGTCGCGTCTTCGCCCCTGCTCGGGCCCTTCTTTCCTTTGCCCCGCGCCCCCCGCGGCCGCTGGCCTGCCCCTCGCCGCCGCCGCTCTCCCGCCTCCCTCCCGCCTTTGTCTGGCGCCCCTGCCCCTTGCCGCCGCCGCTGCCTGCTCTCCTCTCCCGTCGCTCCTCCTCCCGCCGCTCTCCCCGCCGCCTTTTCGTGCCGCCCCTTCCTCTTGGCCGCCTGCCTGCCTTGCCTTGGCGCTCCCGCCTCTCTGGCCCGCCCGGCGTCCCTCCCCTGCTGCTTGGCGCTTTCCTCCCCGCTTGTCCGGCCGCCGTGGCTGCTGCTTGCTCTCTTCTGCGCCCTGGCTCCCGTTTGCCCCTCCCCCTCCCCCTTTTCCCCGGTCCCCTTTGCGCCGTCCCCTTCCTTCCTCTGCTGGCTTCTTCTTTGCTGGCGTTTGGGCGTCGTTTCCCGCTTTGGGTCGGCCGCTCCCCGTGCCCCTGGGCCGCCCTTTCCCTTGGGTGGCCCTTGCGCTGCCCTTGCCCTTGGGCGCCCCTTCCCCGGCCTTGGCGCCCGCTTTCCTCGCCCTTGCCCTTGGCGCTCGCTTTCGCCGCCCTTGCCCTTGGGCGCCCGTTTTCGCGCCTTGCGCCCCTGTCGCCTTGCCCTTGGGCGCCCCTTGCGTTGTTGCCCTTGGCGCCTTGCCCTTGGGCGCCCGTCCGTTCGGGCGCCCCTGCTCGCCTTGCCCTTGGGCGCCCCTTGCGGTTGTTGCCCTTGCGGCGTCCCTTGCCTTGCGCTGCCCTTCCCTCCGCCGCCGTCTGGGCGCCCCTTTCGCCGTCCCCCGTCCCCCCTCCCTTGGGCCGCCCTTGCCGCCCCCGGCGCCTTGGCGCCCTTGCCCGTCCCCGTCCCTTGGGCGCCCCTTCCCCTGGCGCCCTTCCCTTGGTGCCCCTTCCCGCCCCTTGCCCTTGGTGTTCCCTTCCCCGGCGCCCTTCCTTGGGTGGCCGTTCCCGCCCGTTTGCCGTCTGCGCCCCCCCGCCGTGCGCCTGCCGCCGCTGCCGCTGCCCTTCCCGTGCCCTCTTCTCCCCGGCCCCTCCTCGTTTCCTCGTCTGGGCTTCCCTTGCGCTCTTTTTCCCTCCCCCGCTCCCCGCCCCCTTCCGCGCTCTCCGCGCCGCCCTTCTCCCCCCCCTGCGCCCCGCTCTTCCCCTCCCCCGTCCCCCCCCCGGCCTCTCCGCTGCCGTTTGGGCGCTCCCCCTTTCCCTGGCGCTGCCGCTCTCCCCCCGGCTCGCTTCTCCTTTCTGCCCTCTTTGCCGCCGCTCCGCTCCGCTCTCTGCCCCCCGCTCCCCGCTTTCCCCCTGCGCGCGTCTCTTTCCCCCGGCCCGCTTCTCCTTCCCCGCTCTCCCCTGCTGCCGCTCTGCCGCCTTGCCGCCGCGGCCGTCCCGCCCTCCGCGCGCCGCCCTTCGCCCTCCTCCCGCGCTCGCCTCGCGCCCTTCCGCTTGCCGCGCCTCGCGCCCCCTCTCCTTTGGTCCCGCGCCTCCCCCCCTCTTCCCGTGCGCCGTGCGCCCCGCCCCGCCCTCCGCGCGCTTCCCCGCCCCTCTTCTGCGCGTTCTTCCCCGCGCCCCGCCGCGCCCCCTCTCCCGTGCTTTCCTTGCTCTCTTCCCCGCGCGCCCCCCTCCGCGCTCTCCCGCGCCCTCCTTCCCGCGTGTTTCTCTTCCTCCCCGCGCCCTGCGCCTCCTTGCCGCTCCTCTCCCGCGTCTCCGCCGTTGGCCGCCCGCCCCCCTTGTTTTGGCGCCCCCCCGCGCCGGGCGGCCCGTCGCCCGGCGCTGTGCCCTCCTGGCTTGTCCCCCGGCGCTGTGCGCTCCGCCGCCGCCGTGTCGGCGGCCCTGGGCGTGCTTCGGTGCGGGCTTTGGTGCTCCCCGCCCTCGCTCCCGGCTCCGTTTCTCCCGGCGTGTGGCCGCCGGGGGCCCGTCCCGCGGCGTCGTGCCCTCCTGGGCTCGTCGCGCGGCGCCGTGCCCCCGCCGCCGCCGTGTGGTGTCCCTGGGCGTGCTTCGTGCGGGCTTTGGTGCTCCCCGCCCTCGCTCCCGGCCCTTCCTTGTCTCTTGGCCCCCGCCGTGGTCGCTCTCGTGCCTTGCTCTTGGCGCTCCGCGCCCGTGGCGTCGGCGGCTTCCCCCCCTCGCGCCCCCCTCTCCTTGTCTTGTGTTCTTTCCTGCTTTCTTTCCTTCCTGCTCTTTCCTCTTCGCTCTCCCCGCGCTCTCCTGCTCCCCCCTCTCCCCCCCCCTTTCTGTTTCTTTCTTTCCGCTGTGCCCCCTCCTCTCCCCTCTCGTTCCGCGTTTTGGTTTCTCTCTGGCTTCGCCCTTGTTGTGCTGTGCGCCCCCGTTTGCCCGTCTCTTCCCCCCCCCCCCCCCCCTCTCGCCTTTCCCCTTCCCTCTTTTGGGCCCCCCCTTGGTCTCCGCGCCTGTCGCCTCTTTGCGTCCGTTTCGTCCCCCCTTTGGTCTTCCCCCCGTTGCCTCCCTGGGTTCCCTGTTTTTGCCTGCTCGGCCTGCTCCCTTCTCCCCCGTGTGTGCCTTGGCTTCCTCTTTCCTCTCTCTCGTGCTGCTGCTGCCGCCCGCTTTCGCTCCCCCTCTCTTCTTCTCCCTTGCTCCCTTTGCTGCTTGGCCCGTTCGTCTGCCGGTCCCTTCTCGGCTTTCCCCGCTGCCCTGTGGGCCGTTCTTTCCCCTGGCCCTCTCGCCCTCTTCCCCTCCCTCCGGCGTTTGTTCTCTCCCCGGCTGCTCCCCCGTCCGTCCCCCGCCCCCCCGGCCTGGCCCTCGGCCGCTCGCCCGCGGCCTCCTCTTGCCCCTCTTGCCCCGGCTCTTCTCTTCCCCGCCGTTGCTGCTCCCCTCTTTCCGCCGCTCCGCCCGTGTGCCCTGCCCCCGCCCTCTGGGCCCCTCTCCTCCCGCTTGGCGCCGGCGCTGCCCCCGCCCCGCCCTCCGCTCCCCCTCGCCCTGCCGCCGTTTGCCGCTTTCCCCCTGCTCTCCCCTGCCCGTGTTGCCGCCCTGGCCGCTCGCCTGCTCCCCGTTCTTGGCGCGCTTCGTGCTCTTGGCCCCCCTCTTCGCCCCCCGCCCTTCCTCTCCCCCTCCTCCGCGGCTTCCCCTCTGCCTGGGCTCTGCCGGTTCCGGCTCTGCGCGCTCCCCGCGCTCTCCGCCTGTTGTCCCCGCCCCCTTCTTTCGTGCTCTCCCCGCCTCTGCGTTCGCCCTGCCGGCCCCCGCTGCTGCTGTTCCTGCCGCTCGCCCTGCTGCTCTCCTGGCCGCCCCCCGTCCCCCTCCCGGTCCGTCGCCCTCCTGTTGCTTTTCTGCCTGCCGCCCCCTTTGCTCTTTTTGTCCCCGTTTCGCCGGTTTCTGCGCCCGGCGCCCCCCCCCTTCTGCTCGTGGCCCCTTCCTCTCTCGCCTCCCCCCCGCCGCCCCGTCGCCGCCCCTCCGGCTTTGTGCTCCCCTTGCCGCCCCCCCGGCCCTTTTCCCCTCCCTTGTCCCGTCTCCGCTCGTTCGCCCGTCTCCCGGCCCCCTGTTGCCTCTCCGCCGCCCCCTCCGCCCGCCCCGGTTCCCGCGCGCCCCCCGCCCGCTCTCGTTCGCCCCGCCCCCCCGCCCCTGCTGCTTCGGCGGCTTCCTCCTCCCGCGCTGCCCGTTCCTGTTCGGCTGCTGCTCCGGCGCTCCTCTGCCCGTCCCTTGCGTTGCGTCCCCGTGCCGCTTGTCTTCTGGCTCTTGCCGCCGCGGCCGCCGCGGTCCCCTCTCCTTCTTTCCCTTCTGTTCCTTCTTCTTTTTCTCGTGCCTCTCTTGCCCTCTCCTGCGCGCCTGTCCCGCGCTTCTGCTCCCTCCTCCTCCCCTCCCGGCGCGCCCTCCTCTTCTCCTTCTTGCCCCGCCGCCCTGCCTCCCCCTTGCCCGCTGCTTTCCTTGCCGTGCGTCCCTTGCCGCCTGCCCTCTTCCTCTTCCCGCCGCGTGTCCCGCCCGCGCGGTTCGCGCCCCTCCTCTTCGCGCTCCTCTTGCTCCGTTCCCTCCTTCGTCTCCCTCCTCGCTCCCTGGTGCGCCTGCCCCCGCCCTCCGGCGCTCGCCCCGGCCTCGGTTCTGCCTCCCCCTGTTCTCCCCCCCTCCCCTCTGCCTCCTTCTCCTCCTCCTTTCCCTCCTCCCGTTCCCGTGGTCCCTTTGTTCCCCGTCCGCCTCGCCCGCTGCGCCCCGGCCTTGGCTCTCCCCCCCGCCCCGTTGCCTGTTGCCCGGCCGCCCCCTTCTCTCCTCCGGCCCGCCCCCCCCTTCTTCCCGCCCGCTCTGCCCCCGCGTCCCGTGCCCCCGCTTTCCTCGCCCCGCGGGCCGCTTTTCTCGCCCTCCCGTTGGGCGCTTTTCTCCCCCTCCCCCGCTTGGTTGTGCCCTCGCTGTCTGCTTTTTCTCGCCCCCCGCCCCCCTTCTCTTCCCCGGTGCCCCCCTCTCCCCTGCTTTTCCCCCTCCGGCGCCCCCCCTTTTTCTCCGTGCGTTCTGCTTCTCGTGTCTCTCCTGGTTCCCCCTCGCCTCCTCTTCCTTCCCTCCGCTCCGGTGGGTTTGGTTCCCCCCCTCCCTCCCCGTCCCGGCCCCCCGCCCGTCTGGGTCCCTCCCGTTCCTTCCTCTTTTTTGCCGGCTGTTTGGTCCCTCGCTCGTGGTTGCTCCCGCCCCCTGCCTCGCCTCCCTCCTCTCTCGTGCCTTTCCCCGCCTCGCTGGCCCCCCCGTTCTCTTCGGCGGCCCTCCCCCTTCTGGCCTCCCCCCGGCGTTGGCCCGCTCCCGCCCCTGGCTTGCCGCTTGCCGCTGTTTCTTTCGTTGCCGGCTTCCCCTTTCCTTTGTTGCGCCCTCGTCCCTTTTGTGCTCCCGGCTCTCTTGTCGCCTTTTCTCCCGCTCCTTGCCTCCTCCCCCTGCGCTCCCCCTGCGCTTGTTCTCTCTGGCCCCGGCGCCCGCCTCTGTCTGCTTGTTGCTTGGCGTCCCCGCCCCGCTTCCGTGTGCTTCCTGGCCCGCCCTTCGCCTGCCGCTCCTTGGGCCTGGCCCCGCCCGCTCCCCCCTTCCCCTTCCCGCCTCTCCCTCCGCTTGCCCCGCCCCTCTCGTCGCCGGCTTGCCCGCTCTTCTCTTCCCGCCGGCCCCCGTGTGTGCTGCCTGCCCCCGCGGCCCGCCCCTCCCCTCCTCCTTCCCCTCCCCGCCCCCCGCGTCCCCGTCCCGCCCGCTCCGCTTCCTCCCTCTGGCCTTCTTTGGCCCGGTTGCTCCCCTCCGTGTCCGTGGTCCGCCCTCTCCTCTCGTTGTTGTTGCTGCTTTTTCCCGGTCCCCTTGGCCCGTGTTTCTCCCGCCGCCCCTGCCGTTGCGCCCGTTCTCCCGCCGCTGTTGCCGCCCCTCCCCCCTGCGCCCGCCTTGCCCCTCTCCCCCTCCGCCCGGCTCGCGGCCCCGCGTTCGTGCCTGGCGTTCTCCCCGCTTTTTGCCCTTCCCCTGGCCTTTCTCCTCCCTTCTCTGGCCGCCCGCCCCCGCCCCCCCGGTGTTGCCGCCCGCCGCCCCGGCCGCTCCCGCCGCCGCCCGCGTGCTGCTTCGTGCTGCCGGTCTCCCGCCCCGCTCTTGGGCGGCCGCTCTCCCCCCTGCTTGTCTCCCCGCCCCTCGCCGCCTGCTCCCTCCGCCGTCCCCGCCGCCGCCCTCTCGCGCTCTCTCCCGGGCGCCCCCCCCTCTTGGTTCTTTTCCTCTTTTTGGCTGCCCCTGTTTTCTTCCTCTTCCTGCTCCCTTGCCTCTCCCGCTTTTGCTGCGCGTGCCGCTGCCGGCCTTTTTCTCGGCTCTTCCGCTCCCCGCCCGGCCGTTCCGCGTTTTGCCTCCCGCTCCCTGGTGGTTGCCGCCTCCCTCCCCGTGGTCTTTGCTGCCCCCTCCCCGCTCCCCCTGCTGCCTCTGGCCGCCGCCTTGCCCCCCTGGTCCCCCGTGTCCTCTTGCTTTTTGTGCTCCTCCTGCTCCGTGTGCCGCTGCTGTTTTGGCCGGGCCTGGCTGCGTTGGCCCTTCCTTCTCTCGCCCCTCCCCTCCCTCCTCTCGCCGCCGTTGGCCCTTCTTTTCCTCCTCCTTTTGGGCGTGCTGCCTCCCGTGGCCTGCGGCTGCCGTCCGTGGTTGCTCCCCTTCGTGCTCCCGTTCCTGTGCCGTTGGTGGTCCCTTCCCCCTGCCTTCCTGTGGCCCTTCGCCCCCCCTCTCGCCCTCCCCCCCTGGCTCCCCCCCGTCCCCTGCCCCCCTTTGCCCCCGCTTTCCGCTGGCTCCCCCTCCCCCTCCCGCCTTCCTTCTTGGGCCTCTTCCTGCCGGCGTGCCCCCCGCTCCTCTCCCCTGGCCGCCTTGTTCCCGTGTTCTCTCTCTCCGCTTGCCCCCCCCGCCGTTGCCGCCGCTCTCCCTGCTCCGCTTGGCTCCCTGCTCTGCCCGCGGCGCTCGCTCCCTTCCCCGCCCTGCTGTTTGGGCCCTTGTTCCCCGCCCGGCGCCCCCCCTGTTGTCGGCCCCCCTGGGTCTTCCGGCCCCCCGCCCCCGCCGCCGGCGTGCTTGTTCGGCCTCCCGCCCGGCTCGTTGCCCCCGGCTCCTCTCCCGCCGCCGGCCTCGCTTTTGCTGCCCCTTTTGCCCCGGTGGCCCGCCTTGCCGCCCTCCGCCTTTTCCTCGCCTCCGCCGCCCCCCCCGCTTTCCCCGTTTCTCCCTGGCCGTGCCCCGCGCCTTCTTGCCTGGTCTCCTCGCCGCCGCCGTTTCTGTCGCCCCCCCCCCGGTTTTGCGGTCCCCGGCGCCGGTGCTCCGTCTCCCCCTTCCCCCGGCCTTGTCTGGGTTGCCCCCGCCCCTCGCGCTTGGTCTGCTCCTTTGTCCCTGTTCTTGCTCCGCTGTGGCTTCCCCCCGGCCTTGTTGCCCCCCTCTCTTTCGCCTTCCCGCTGGTGCTCCTCTTTTCTTCGTGCCCCTCTCTGTTGCTGCTCTTCTTTTTGGCCGCCCTCCCCCTTCTTTGTGTGCGCCTTTTCGCCGCTTCTGCCGCCTCCTTCGCCTGCGCCTGCTGGGTGCACTTGCCTTCCTTCTTGGGCTTCCCCGTCCCCCCTGCCCGCCGGCGTCTTCCTCCTCCCGCCCCGTCCCCCCCGCGCCTTGCTCCCGCCGTTTGGCCTTGCTGGCCCTCCTCGCTCCCCCTTCCCCTGCGCCCTCCTCCGGCTCGCCCCGCTGCCGCTGGCCGGCTGTCGCTCCCCCCCCCTCTCGCGGCCTGCTTGGTTCTCTTCTCTCTCTTCCTGCCCGCCGGCCGGCCC